AAAAAAAAAAAAGAGGGAAAAAGAAGAAGAAAAAAACAAGAAAACCTGCAATATCTGGGGACAGGGCACTAAGAGAAAAAAGGTTGAGAAGGAGAATAATGAAGAAAAAAAATGGAAAAAAATGCAAAAAGGAAAACAAGGAATGGGGTTAACCATGAGAAAAAAAGGGGGAAAAAAAGAATTTAGATGAAAAAAAAATTGTTTTTTCAACCAGGAACAAGGAAAAGAAAAAAAAAGCTGTAAACTAGGACCCAGGAGCTGGGGGGAGAATAAAGAATAATAGCAAAAAGGACAAAAGTATTATTAATAATAGTAGTTTTAAAACAGACAAATACAAGCAAACTAAATACCAGAAAAAAGAAAGAGAAAAAGAAAACAATCGGTGGAGGACAGGGCAGGGCACCCAGCCTCCGTCTGAGCACACAGACTGGGATGGAGTTCCTGTGGGCCCAGAAGGTGGGTGGGAGTGGGGGATGGCCACACCTCTGTTCACCAAGTGGATGTGGGGTATAAGAGTAACAAAAGGAATGTTGAACCTTTTCAGTCGTGCAGGTCCAGAGTGTCCTTGGGGTTACTGGCAAGCAGAACCTGTTCTTAAGCCCCTGTAATCTGGGAGAGCTTTGTCTCTTTAAATATCCAAATGGTCAAGCCTATTGTAGACATTCAAAATGGCACGCCCTCCGGACAGGCAAAAGTCCACAGCTCAGCCCATCTTCCTCTTCACCACTGCTTCTCATTTTACTCTTCCGTGCAGTCCCTTGCTAGCAGGGCTGATTTTTAGGTTAATTCTTAGGTCCTACCAGTGCTTGGAAATCTCCAAGCTGTCTGAGCCATCAGGATCGCTCAGGATCGCTGCCAGACCGCAGCTCCATATGTCTCCGTTTTTGGTATTTTCATGCAAATTCTTTGGGTAGTTGGGGTTTAGTCCACTTCTATATCCTTCCCTTCAAGGCTCAGGGGTCCAAGATTATCTTCTATGTCTGTGTTAATTGGTTCCCCTTTTCTTTGTTGAAGAGGGTCTGTGCAGTCTTTTTGCCTATTCCGCCATCTTGGATGGGAATCCCCAAGGCTGTAAATCTTTACAGAAGCAAAGTACCTCATTTTCCTCCCTCAGAACAGCTGGTGGGTTTGACCACTGATTTTTGGTTAGCAGTCAAATGCTTTAACCACTATACCAGCACAACTTTGGTAAGTGCAGTGTGACAGAAAAGGAGAGAAATCCTCCATGAAATGGGTTGGCTCAATAGCTACAACAATGGGCTCAAACATACCAACCATTAGGAGAATGGTATAGGACTGGTAACATCTCCTTCTGTTGTGCATGGGGTTGCTATGAATTGAAGCTGACTCCAAGAAATGATGACTCAGGTATAGCAATGATCGTGAGGCTGGCTCAGGACTGGGCATTGTTTCATTCTGCTGTACATAAGGTCACTACAAGTCAGAGATGACTCGGCACTTAACAACAACCAAGGCTACTAATAACAACAAATAGATTAAATGTACATAAAATGCATACTGTGTGCTGAGTTCTGGGCCAAATCCATTATTACATATTATCTCATTTCATCACCACAATAACCAATTTGCTGTTAATAAAGCAACAGAAATGGACAGGTCTCATCCTCTTAAATACTTGATCATCTGACCTCAAGTACAAAGACCATTTATCTTATAATCAGAAAATAGATAAGGCTATTTTTAAAAATTCTGCTCAAAACTCTTCTTTCCCAGATCTCTTTGTATTCCCATAGCAGTTTGTCTCTCTTAGCTCTGGTAGTGTAGTGCCTAAGGCACTTGACTGCTAACCAGAAGGCTGGCAGTTTAAACCCACCAATCACTCTTTGAAAGGAAAGTTGGGCAATCTACTTCCGTAGTGATAATGCCTCAGAAACCCAAGGAGGAGTCACTATGAGTTGGGTCCGACTCAATGGCACATAACAACAACAACATAGCATTTCAGACAATTTAATTAGTGTAATTGGTTGCGTCCATTTCAAAATCAACTTGACAGCAATTAACATTTATATGAGAGCTCTGGTGGTGTAGCGCCTAAGGCATTTGACTGTTAACCAGAAGCCTGGCAGTTCAAACCCACCAGCTACTCCTCGGAAGGAAGACTGGGCAATCTACTTCCATAGAGATACCGCCTTGAAAACCAAGAAGAGGTGGGTATGATATACTCCTCCTAGATCCTAGGTGGCACAAACGGTTTGCACTGGACTGCTAACCTAAAGGTTGAGGTTAGAACCCACCCATTGGTACCAAGGAAGAAAAGAACAATGATTTGTTGTTGTTGTTGGGTGCCATCGATCGTCTCTGACTCATAGCCATGGGCAATGATCTGCTTCCCTAAAATTACAGTCATAAAAGTCTATGAAGCAGTTCTAGTCTGTCACATTTGGGGTCATCCTGAGTCAGGACTGACTCCATAGACAAATAAATACAACCTAGATCCTATATTCCTGCAGGCCTAAAAGTCAAGTTCACTTTCTGTTTTTTGGAACTCCGGTGATTTACTCAGTAGGCACTAGTTACAAGATAAACTAAAATGTGTTCTGATGTAGACTGCTGAAGCTTCTGAGATTACGGTCCCTGGTTACCCTTCGTGTCTGGAACTGGACTCACTCTCATAAGTAGTTAGGTCTCAGCCAAACAACAGATGGCCTACGAGCTGAACAACTACACTGGGAGATACACTGCTTAGAACCATCAACTATTAGAGATCGGAAGGGCAGCATTTGCACAAGGAGAAAGCTAGACAGGCAGGAATACATAAATCAGGACATGGGGAAGGAGAACCACAGGGAGAAGTTGGGAGGTGTAATAGGGGAAAAGACAACCCAGATTCAAACGGATTCAATAGAAGCACTTCTATTAAGTCTTGGACAGGACAGAGACAAAACAAAGACAATCATCCCAGATGAGGGAAACCATCAGCATGTACACAGTACAGAAAGCTGAATGGAGTCTACTGAGTCATGGCCATGGTGCTAATTATATATGATTGAAAAGAAAGCGAATCATCACAAAATCATGATTGGTGGTGAATCGATTCATCACTGTTACAGGCAGGACTACAGAAACAGGGAAAAGACCATGATTGGGATACATACATAACTGAAGATAGAAAAGGGTTACAGGATTGATCGGTTCTGGGCTTTGAGTACCTGACCAGGTGGTGGTCCCCCTGGATTGGCTGTGACTCATTACCATGCAGCCTGGTCTTAGCCACAAGGTGGCTACCAAACAATACCAAGATCCCAACCTTAAATTAAAAGGACACTCTTAGGCAAGGTCCTTAGTTCTTTGTGTGAGCATAATCTACTGTCAACCACATTCTTCCTGAAGGCCGAGTGCCCCTCCCTAGGTTTGTTCTGGAACTTGTCTGTGCACAGCCACAATGCTGGTTTAAAATCAGAGAGAACCCAAATGGCATCTGAAACTTATGGCAAGCCTCAAAATGGAGTTAGAGCTCCCACTGCAGACCACAGCCTTCCACAAACCAAGTGCTTTAGGACCTACACTGTAACACAGAGCAGAGCTCTTACACTGTGGGGATTGTAATCCATGTCGTGAAGCACAATGTGTTATGATCTGGTGAGTGTAAAACCAATCTGCTTTGTAAACAAAAATTTGAAAAAATAAAAACCCATTATAAGGTGTCCTTATAATGTCTAGGACATTATTGATTCAGACTTTCCTTCAAAATGTGAAAATAAATGCAAAATTTTGGTGAGTCTTCTAGAATTGGGATTTTTGTAGATTTCACTAAATTTAAAACAGAAAGGAATAGTGGAATGCCTGTTCCCCAAAAATGAATATATTTACTCCACCTTACAAAGCAGTGTACATCATTGAAAAAAGAGGGGCTGTGGGAGCAGAGAGGAGCGTGTGATTCTGCTTGAGTGTTTGTGTGGCTGGAGAGAAGAGATTTGGAGGAGATAACATTTTCAATGTGATATAGTTTGAAAAAAGGAGGAAGTTAAAGATTACTGCTCCCCTATCAATAATCTTCAAAGAATGTAAATTCCTGTCAACACAAAGCCTCTCCATTTCCCTCCTACACCAAGGTTTTCTTGCTGGCACCTTCTTTATCCCATTCCCGGGCCAGGAACCTGCAGGGCGCTGGGTCGCTAGGCCTCCCTAACGGGGTCCCAAATGAAACTCAGTTTAGCGTGCACCCAGGAAGCCTGGGGAGAATTGCCAAGTGGGCGGGGCTTGGTAGTCGCAGCTCTCAGTACCCAACTACCCTGTCACGGAAGTCGTCATCTCACGTTCTGGCAGGAGAGGCTTGTGGGCGAGAAGAGGAAAAGCACGACTTCAGGGAGTTGTTGCCCGTACTCAAGATGGCGGCGTTGGGAGGGCGTGACTAGGGACTGTGTGCCCCCGAGGCGGTGGGATCATGGCGGCGACCGAGGAACCGAGACTTGAGGAGTGGGAAGAGGAGGAAGTAAGTGCCACCCGGAAAGCCTGGTCATCGGTCGTGGTGATGGCTTCGCGGGTTGTGTTTCGCGCAGGGAGTCCAGAGGCGGCGGCTGGCGGGAGGGAGGCCTCTGGGCGCGCAGAGCCTGGGAGGGTCAGGTCTGAATTTCAATTCCCAAATCATACGTAGAATGGGGGAAGGAGGAAACTACTTTAGGAAGCGGCGCTTGCCACCTCTTCTTGAAATCAGGACCTCGTTTTCACAACGGTTTAATAATTGCAAAGGGCATTTTTGGCTTCCCTTGTTGCCTCTTCCCGCGTGTTAGTAGGTTAATTCCATCTTTCTTTTCTCCAGGAGCAGTTGGTTCTGGTGGAATTGTCAGGAATTATTGATTCAGACTTTCTTTCAAAATGTGAAAATAAATGCAAAGTTTTGGTGAGTCTTCGAGAATTGGGATTTTTGTAGATTAAATTTAAAACAGAAAGGAATAGTGGAATGCCTGTTCCCCAAAAATGAATCTGTTTACTCCACCTTACAAAGCAGTGTACATCACTGAAACAGAGAGGCTGTGGGAGCCGAGAGGAGCGTGTGATTCTGCTTGAGTGTTTGTGTGGCTGGAGAGAAGAGATTTGGAGGAGGTAACATTTTCAATGTGATATAGTTTGAAAAAAATATATTTTGGAAAATTAGGGGAAGAGACATACAAAATGAAGGGAGAAAAATAAGTCATGCATATAGAGGTTCAACTGGAGAAGGAAGGGAAGGTACATGAGACTTCAAAGGCCTCTCAGACTCTGCTGTTGACTTACTATAGTATCATAAGTTACCATCATATATTTCATCACTTTAAAATCTTTGAGCTACTGTTGACAAAACTTCCTCTATTCTTACCTTAAATTTAAAGAGGCTGTTTATTGAAAAAGACCCTTGCTACAGAGTTAAGTGGTCTTCAGTAGCTTCTACTTGTTGGTAAAAGAAGTTCTCTGAAAATCAGTTTCCTTGGTAGCAAGGGTACATGTTGATAACTTTTGGTAAAATTTTATGATCCTATATTCTATTGTAGGGAATTGATACTGAGAGGCCTGTTATGCAGGTGGACAACTATGTCTTTGCTGGAGAATATGAAGGTAGGATGATGTTAGATGAAACTCCTTTTTTTTTTTTTTTTTCAAATTTGCTTTTCAGAGAACATAGCTCTATTATTTCTTCAAATTTTTCTGCAGATGCTCTTGGGACCTGTGTTATATTTGAAGAAGATGTGGAAGAACATGGTAAGTGGTTGCAATGCTAACCTCTTTTACAATAAAATACTTCAAACATACAGTTAATATTAAATGAACATCTCATGTACCCATTGTTTATCTGTATCAGATCCTACCATTTCACCAGATTATGCTCAGAAAACATTCCAGATAAGTTTGGCGTCTCTTTATACTTCTCCAAACTTATTCCCTATTTTCTGTCTTCAAAGGTAATTAATCCTGAATTTTATATCTCCCTTTCCTATGCCTGATTTTATATTGCATATGTGTGTACACACAAACCATAAATAGCATTATTTTAAATATTTCCAAACTTGATATAAATTATAACATATAATATTCATTATTCTATATCTTTTCTTGGGAGCTCCTGTGGCATAGTGCCTAAGGGATTTGACTGCTAACCAGAAGGCTGGCGGTTCAAACCCACCAGCCACTCCTTGGAAGGAAGATTGGGCAATCTAGTTCCAAAGAGATACTGCCTCGGAAACCCAAGGAGGGGTTGCTGTGAGTCAGATGTGACTTGACGGCAGTGAGTTTGGTTTTTTTTGGTTTATATCTTTTCTCAGATATGTTTTGAGATTTCTACATGTTGATATTTATATCTTATTTTCCCTGCTGCTTCTTGTTCCACTGTATTACTATATCATTATTTATTCTCTCGTTAGTACTTTTTGGTTACTTCCATTTTCACCAATTATTATTAATAACTACTAATATTTATTGAGTACCTTTTTTTATACTGGGGACTATTCTAAATACTACATATATTTACTCATTTAAGTAGATACCATTATTCATTTTATAGTTGAAGAAACTGAAGCAGATTTCTTCATTTTCTTCAGAAGCTGAAGAGGTTAAACAAATACTATACTCAAAGTTATATAAGAAGTAGATGGTAGAGCCAGGATTCACAGCCCACATTCTTAATTATGCTTATTATTTTATTATAAAAATGCTACTATGAATCAAAAAAGTGAAAAGACAACCTACAGATAGGGCCTAGTATCCAAAATATATATCAAATTTGTACAACTTAACAACAAAAAGGCAACCCAATAAAAAAACAGGCAAAAGACTTGAACAGACATTTCTTTAAAAAAAAAAAATGAGTGTGATGTGGGTAAAGGTTTATAGAGAAACTTCATTTTCCACTACAGCAGTTCATACACACATACATTTTGTTTCATGACATTGACTGCAGTTCCTCACAATGTGACAGCTCTCCTCCCACTTCCTCCCTGTAGAGGAGCAGTCAGTAGTGGCAGCTGGGCTCTTCCTGTGTCCTTTCCTCTGCATCTCTGCCCCCTGAGCAATCTCTCAAATACTGCCCTGGTGTTCTCCTATGATTGATCGTTGAACAGACATTTCACCAAAGAGGACATACAAATGGTCAACAAGCACATGAAAAGATGTTCAACATTATTGGCCATTGTTGTTGTTAGGTGCCATGGAGTTGGTTGACTCATAGTAGTTCCCTGTACTACAGAATGAGACACTGCGTGGTCCTGCTGCATCCGCACAACAATTGCTAAGTTTGAGTCCACTGTTGTAGCCTTGTGTCAATCCATCTCATTGAGGGTCTTCTCCTTTTTTGCTGACCCTCTACCAAGCATGATGTCCTTCTCCAGGGAGAGATGAGGTTTTGCCATCTTCGCCTCTAAGGAGCATTCTGGCTGTACTTCATTCGAGATAGATTTGTTTGTTTTTTGGCAGTCCATAAAAAAAAAGGCCTAGGAATCTAGACAGAGGAGAAGTCAGCCGCAGGGACCCAGGTAAGGGTGGTACGAGAGGTTTCCAACAGGGAGTCAACTTGTCTGTTGGTTTGTCCTACCGTGGTGATGTGTTGATGTGAGTTTTGAGGCTGAGCCACTGCTGTTTCTAACCCAGCGGGATGCACATGGTGCACAGGTATCAGCCCAGCTTACAGACTGAGACACACTAGGAAGAAGGAGGAGGCCGTCCACTTCTCAAATAGTTGGCCAGTGAAAACCTTATGAATAGCAAAGAAACACTGTTTGATACATTACCGCGCAACTTTATGAATAGTCCGGTTAGGTTAGAAGGCTCTTAGAATAGGACTGGGAAAGACCTGCATCATCTGAGTAAACCCAGCATTACTCCTATGGATAAGGTAAAGCTTTCGAGACCTCCATTTGCTGATGTGGCACCACGCAAATTGAAGAGCAACAACTGCAGACATCCATTAATCATCAGAACATGGAATGTACGAAGTATGAATCTAGGAAAATTGGAAGTTGTCGAAAATGAAATGGAACGCATACAGATTGATCTCCTTGGTGTTGTTGTTGTTGTTAAGTGCTGTCGAGTCATTTCTGACTCATAGTGACCCCATGCACAGCAGAACGAAACACTGCCCTATCCTGCGCCAGCCCCACAATCCCTGCTATACTTGAACTCATCATTGCAGCCACCGTATCAATCCATCTCGTTGAAGGCCTCCCCCGCCTTCATCGACCCTCCACCCTACCAAGCATGACATCCTTCTCCAGGGAATGGTCCCTCCTTACAAAATGACCAAAATAGGTGAGACGAAGTCTGGCCATTCTTGCTTCCAAGGAGCATTCTGGCTGCACTTCCTCCAGGACAGATCTGTTAGTTCTTTTAGCAGTC